CCCCAAAACCCCAAAACCCCAAAACCCCATTATAGAAAGACTTGGTTGATCAATCCTGCAGTGAATTAGAAGCTAAAATTTGTATATGCTGATAAGATATTCGAACCTGCTAAATCAACTAGGCTTGTTCATTTTAGCCAAGAGAGTAGAAAGAAATTGTCTGACACTGAATCCCTCCTTAAACACATCCCTAGACTTTTTGAACACTTCAGCTGGAATTCTGAATAATTTACATAAAAGACCTTCGAACAAGAATTTCATTTTTACTATTCTTCATAGTCTTCTTGTCTCGCTTTTGGCTATACGCATTTTCAGAGTAATGCTCAATCTCTCCTGGGGCATATTTGGACTCTAGAACTCCATTCAGATCATAGTGGCCAAGTGTAGTCCGAAGTCTTTTCAAAATTTCTGAGTTTTTGAGTTTTATGTTCTCTAGAATTTTACTGGACTCATCTTGTATTTCCTTTCATCTATAATTTATGTGTTATGAGCCTGATTTACCTTTTGTTGCTCCTAAATATTATTCTCGGGTCATTAGTCTGAAACTTATAGTTCCTTGTACTAGATCGCAGCTTATCTTGCCGAGGCAGGAGATAATCAAGAGCTTCTCTGGTCAACTCTAGAGGACTCTTTGCTATTATTTTGCGACTAATTTTACGCACTTTATTTTGAAGGATTGCTGGAGTTTTCCACGACTATTGGCTTCAGAGATTTGGTATTTAGTACTTCTAGACATATTTCCTTTTTCAACTGACTTTCTGTAGCGAATCTGGAGGATGAAATACACTAAATTACTCTTTAGAGCTCTTGATTTGGGCAATTTTGTGGATCTTCCTGGTGCCTTGCTTTGAATTACCTATCTTTTTCTTAAAACTGAGTGAGGACAAGTCGAGCATTATGTCTTTCGTTTTGGAATTTCGTTCACCATTACTGTTGCTCCGGACTGGGCTGATTTGAGACTGCAGGTGTTTTTAGAGGAAACTTACGTAACTTTGGTTCACAGTAGTGTAGTCAATAATCCTGTCGATATTCATATAATCACATAATTCTTTCAAACATTTTGAATACTTCGGAGGTAGGTACTTTTGTTGTTCAAGTTCATTAAGTTTGATAATTATCTCGACGCGAGCGATGCATGAACCTTCTCTGGTAAGGCAGTCCCTATCCGGTTAAGCTGCACTACCAGTTCCTTCTGTATAATACTGATTGTCTGGTACAAGACCCTTGCATAAGCTTTTTCCAGTTGTCTATTACCGAAGCCATTGTAGATGGACATTTTAATTATTCTTAAAATTTTGTAAATGTTTGGGGTTTTGGGGTTTTGGGGTTTTGGGGTTTTGGGG